AAAAGTTTCTGGTGCTACTATACCTACTATGTCAGTGAGTTCCTCAAGAAGAAGCTGCTTTTTGAGATCTCTTCAGCAATTTATTTATTTTTTGTTATTTTTAAGTTAAAAAGTAATATGTGAACATGGTTTAAATATTCAAATACTACAAGAGGAGAGTCAGTAAAATGTGAGTCTTTTACTCCAGTCCCCTGATCCTTCTACCCAAAGAAATCTCTTTTTGGCATCTTATGTATCTGCCCATAAGTTTTGTGTATATATGTTGCACAAGAAGGTTGGAGCTATTAACCTGAAGTTTCTTTTTTTTTCTCCCCCTGTTGCTCTGACTTTTCTCTCTTTGAGGGCTTCGTTGCCTCATGGAGCCATTCATTTCCCTAGGGAGAACCAGAAGAACCTCAGAAAGAGCAAAGTATTGAGTGTATCTATTGAGTGTATACTTCTGTTTTTCATTTAACAGACTGAGTTTAAAATTAGAGGAGATTTACTGGCTCATGTAACTGAGAAGTCCAGCAGGAGGACAGGTTCCCTGCATGGTTTTAGTAAGATTTTGTCTTCTCTGTGGATCATTTTGCTTTCTAGGCAGGTTTCCCTTAAATAATAAAAAGGCTGCCAAAGTTCCTGAGTTTGGTTCTATATTTCCTAGTAAACCTATGAAGAGAGAAAGAGCATTTTTGTCTTGATATTGTAAACAAAATGCTGAGACTCAGCCTAATTTGGATTTGCTTAGGTCACATGTTTCCCCTTAGAAAAGGTGGTGTTGCCAGGGAAATAGAATGGCCTACCCCTGGATCTACAAGAGGAGAAAGAAAAAAATGAGAAGTTATCAAGGAGGAGGCAGTTGATAGAGCTCATGAAAAGGAGATAAGCTCAGGAGGGACCACGTGGACAAGAGAGTTAGTGTTGAAAAACTGGCTAACACCAGTGCTGGAGGAGACAGTGAGCTCCACTCATGGTCCATGATAAAGTCTTTGTTGTCATCCAGTGACATCTGCCTAAATCCTGAGATTTCAGTACAATCAGACCATCTAATTTGTTTAAGCCTCTTTTCAAGGCTTAAGACACTGGTAAGCCCATAGAGCTAACAGTGAAGGGGTTCCATAATCTGGCAGGGCAGAGAGATGTAGATGGGCACTTTTTCCCCAGTATGTGATTTGATTGAACTGGACCACACTAGCTTGAGATTTTCCCCAAAGAGCATTGAGTGAAAGCCACCTTATTACATGTGTATATTTCCATTTTTAGAAACAAACCATACCACACTACACAGATGGATCTACATCTTTTTACTAAACAATATATCTTGGGAGATGCTTTATATCAATGCATATAAATCTATCTCATTCTTTTTAGTGACTTTATAATATTCAATCATATGGAAGAACATATTTTATATTTTAAGATGTTTAAGATGTTTTCCATTTTTGCAATTACACAATACTATAGTGAAAATCTTTGCAGATGTCTGAGTGTATTATCTGTAGAACACTCATTTAGAAGTAAAATTATTGGATCAAATATAATCCTTTGGGTCATCTAAAAATGGCCGTGTAGAAGTGAAATTATTGGATCAAAGGGAAGGTATTTATTAGATGCTTTCTATGTGTTAGGCACTATGGCAGGTATTAGGGATAAACCAAAGAGTAAGTTAGACTTGATCTCTGCCATCATAGATTTTTACACTGTACTGGGAGAGATAGGCTTTAAATAGCTAACAGACAAATAATTATAAATTATAGTATGCCATGAAGAAAACAAGCTAGAGATAGTAATGTAATTTTTGATAGAGTGGTCAGAGAAAGTCTAAGAATGTCATATTCAGCTCTATGTGCTTTTAAATTTTAATAGATATTGCAACATTGCCTTCTAAATAACGTGCACCAGTTTACACACTCACCTACCAGTATTGTGTTTCTAAACCTTTTGATCTTTGCCAATCTGATATGAAAATGGCATATATTTTATTTTATTTTCTGTAAATAAGAGTAAGGTTGAGCATACTTTCATATATATGTACATATGTATACATATATGTGTGAGTCTTTTGTACCTTGTGTGTGTGTGTGTGTGTGTGTGTGTGTGTGTGAAATACCCACATTATAACCTTTGTCCATTTTCCTACTGGGTTGTTGGTCATTTTCTTATTGATCATAAGAACTCTTCAAATAATAAATAAATTAGTTCCTTATTACATATTTTGAGGATATTTTCTCCTCTTATTTGGCTTTTGAATCTCTTTTTGGGGAAACATTTGATCATAATTGCCCTTTGAGGCTGCAAAAGAGGCGCTAACGCTAGCCATACACTTAAATATCTTTGTCTTTCGTACCTGGGGAAAAGATACAGCTGAGAAACTATAGCTTCTAAGTAGACCAAGGTAAGATTGGTGGGCTTCTTGTTCAAAAAGACAAAATACACACAATGCAACAAATAGTAAGTGTAATGCCCTCAGTAGAGTTCTGGTGACAGTGTTTTGTGCTGTCCTTTTCCTTAGCTTGCTGTTTAATGCTCCTGTTAGAGAGGAACCTGGCCAGTAAATCTGCCTTAAAAGAGATTTTGACGGTTGGAATTTGTGGTCGCTTTGGTCTCAGGGAGCCAAAAAGAAGGAGTTAAAACAACTTTTTCTTTTTTAAGCATTTTCACTTAGAGTATGTGGTTATGGGTTGTGGAATAGAAAAAACCTAGCACAACAAAAAATTGTGTCATCTTTAGTTTCAAGAAACCATCAGAATCATTTTAGTATTAAACTCTGCTCCAGGAGGAAGTTGAACAGATCAAACAGGTGGTCTTAACCACCAGAGTTATGCTGAGTTTTACTCAATGCTGAGAAACAGCCCAAGAAAGCAAACTAGTGAGGCTGCTGCTGATTAATTTACAATTGATAAACTTTATACAACATCATTAACTGCCTCATTTTATGATTGTGGAATTATCTAAAATAATGTTTTTCAAAATATAAAACTCCTCCACTGGCATAAGGGGTCCTAATGGGTATATAGTGGTGTGTTTTTGTTTTTGTTTTAAGTTCTGTAGCACAAGGGAAGGCTTCTTACCCATAGCCATCAGCAGCTTAGGGAGTAAGCAACATAAAGGGTTTTGATTTTCATGGGATATCCAATGCAATCAATAATCTTAAGAAGCCAGCCAGGGTAAAGAGTTTGAAAGGGGGAGTAGTTTGTGATGAGGTGGATAAGAGAGGGAATATTTCTATTTGTTTTGAGGTGAATCAGAAAGGGAATATTTCTGTTTTCTTCTGCACAATTTATTTTGGTGGTGCTATCTGATGCCCCGCACCCCTACCCAACCCTATCTTCGATTGCAGAGTATTGTAGTAGACAATTTTTTATTACCTTGAAACTTTCAATACAAATATATGTTCATTGTTCAGTTAATCTTCAAAATACTTTGACATTTATTTTTGCCACTGTATTTAATGACTTTTTTAAATTGGAGAGAAATGGTAAAATATGTGTCTGTATTTTAATTATGTGAGTGAGCAAAGTGGGAATGCCGATTGTTTGTGACAACACTAAACTGAGCTGGCCTGTTTCTACATAAATAAAACGGATTTCGGCTTAAAAGTGAAACAAACAAACAAAACCTCAAACACCAACCCAAGCTCACACGTGGACGCCCCTCCCAGCCGTGGGACTCAGAAAACGTTCAGCCCATGGGCTGGAACTTGGGTCTCCTATTGCAAGCGGGAGCAGGAGGCCAGCGAGCTGCGGTCCTCCGGCATTCCTAGAGCGGATGCTGAAGTGCGCCGCGGCGCGAGATCAGGCGCTCCGCAAAGAGCGAAGAGGGCGCTTGAGGAGCGTTGGACTTTTCTTACCGGTCGCCTGGTGAGGTGAGTGATGACTGTGCTCCCGGTTGGGGAGGAACTGCGGCCAGTGGGTGGGGAGCAGCCGATTCCCTGGAGGTGAGAGTGCGGAGAAGGGGCCGTGTGGACGGGGGCGGGAGCGGGAGGCGTTCATACTGGGGCCTGGAAGAGAAATGAAGTGGTGGGTGTAGTTACCGAGGCGCAACCTTTTGCTGCCTATTTTTCATCTATTGAGCTTAGTTTTAAATACGTATTAAAGGTAAGCCTTAGAAGGTAACATTTGAGCAGAAACCTGAGGGAGGTGAAGAGACCTATGTGGCCTTGGGAGGGCACGAGATTTCTAGGCAGAGGGAACAGCAACAGAGGCCCTAAAGCGGGAGCTTGCCTGACATATTCGAGGGAAAGCTGGGAGACCGGAGTGGTCGGAGCACGTGAACATGGTGAAGGTGTAGAGGATGATCTCAGAGAGATTGGGTGGTAGGTGTGGGAGGAGGCTTGTGGGAAAATTGGGCATTGTATTGTGTAAGGAATTTGATCATATGTTGGTGTGAAAAGAGTTTTCGAAAAATTTTGAGCAGACGAAAAACATCTGACTTATGTTTTAAAGCATCTATAGCTGGAAAGGCATGATGAGAAGACTGTAGGGAGGCAGGAGTGGAATCAGGGAAACTTAAGTTGGGAGGCTCTTGAAAGTGATTCAGGTAGGAGATAAGAATATCTTGGTCTAGTATTATAGTAGAAGTGGCTAGTAACAGACTAATGAACTGTTTTGAAAGTAGAGCTGGCAGGATTTGCTGTTGGATCAGATGTGGAGTATGAAAGTAGGAGAGAAAACAAAGATAAATCCAAGGTTCTTGGCCTGTGGCTGCCAGAAATAGAGGAAAGATCTAAGGTTCAATTTTGGGGATCTTGTGCAAGTTATTTAACACTATCTCAGTTTCCTTCTCTGTACAATGAGGTTAATAATAGTATGTACTTCATTGAGGTTAGGATAGGTGAGGATTAAATGCATTAATGCAAGTAAAATACATTGAATAGTTGTGCTGATTTATTTTACTGTGTTGCTGTTACTGAATCCAAACTCGTTCTGCTCACCGCACAAAAGGCCAATAAATCTAGAGACAAGGTGTTGGGACAAGGAATAACTTTATTTGGAAAACCAGAAGACCGAGAAGATAGCAGACTAATGTCCTGGAGAACCATCTTCCCCAAGCCAGAGGTTAGGCTCTTTTTGTACTAAAAAGGGGAGGGGTTGTGGTTGGTTGTTACAGACTTCTTGATATTGGAATCCTTTGTTCTTGCAGCTGTACAGATAGGTCAGGTCAAGGTGTCCCTATAAACCTCCAACAAGACAAATGTTATTTTCTATTCTTCAACTTTTTATCTTTATATGAATGGGAAAGTGTTATACCCTTGAAGGTCAGAGCCTTGAGAATGGGTTATCCTGTGTATTTCGGGTTATAGGCAACATTCTTTTACAAAAGGTGTGGAAGGAGCATGACTAAGCACAGGAAACAGAGCACAGGGTTAGAGCTAAAGGAACAGATCTAATACGGAGTCAGTTTTGTTCTTCCCTTTTACACTGAGACATGAAGTGTGTATGGGCACTAATGAGAAGAGAGTTGGAGAATTAAAGTTGCAGGATTGGCTTTTTAAATTTTTAGTCCATTTTTGACAAAGAAAAATAAGTATCAACTGGGAGTGATACTATATGCACATCCATAATATGTAACAGCAAGCTGTTGAAACCTAGCCAGGCACAGCCACTAATTGAGTGAGCCTCATGCATATTGATTCAAAAGTGTGTGTCAGCAGTTGACAGATGCTATTTCACTCATCTTTAGAGTCACTCAGGAGTAGACAAAATCAAGAACGCTAAATCCTCACGTTTTCAAGGGCGTATTTCAAAGGATGATGGTGGAATTCTCCAAGTTTACTTTGACAGGGTTTGAGAGGCTTTTGTGAGGTATCCAGGTACCAGATAGCTAGCCAGAAGGGAATACAGATCTCACACTCTTGAGACACCTGGGCTGAAAATTAAGGAAATCACTGGCATAAAGATAGTAACTGAAGGTACAAACATACCTGTCTTCTACATTACCTCCTCCTAGCTTATGTCCTGTTTCTCTCCTTCCTTTCAATATCTTATTTTTTGAAAGAGTAATTTTTGCTTACTCTTTCCATTTTCCCATTTTCACATGACTGGCTGACTGTTCTCCCTATCCCATAAACAGAATTGTCACTGTGACCTCTGTGTTTTTTAATTAAGTGTATATGTCAGGTCTTAGGTTAACCCACCTTCCTATAACATTTCCCTCTCTTGAACACTGCCTCTTCATAATTCCAATTATAAATCCATTATTTACTATTCTTTACAACGATCATCTCATTTACCTCAGAACATCTTTGTGAATTTGATATCATCTTCATTTTACAAATGAGTAAACTGAAGCTCTAAGAGGATAAGTACCTTGTCCCAGGTCACACTGTAAGTGGCAGGGCTGGATTGGAACCCAGGCCTGTCTGAGGCCCAGGCTCTCACCACCGCTCCGCACTCCCAGAAACAGATGTCCTCAGTCTTCTGGGTATACTGTCTTTGTTCTCCTGCCTCTCCAGGTGTTCCTTCTCCCTTCTCTTCCTTACATGTAGGTGTTTCCCTGGGTTCCAGCCCCACTTAGCCTTTTCCCAGGCATAACTGACTACTGCTCAGAAGGGTACTTCTAGGCTTCCCAGCAGCTCTGTGCTCACACTTTTCTGTCTGAAAAACCCTTTCCCTATTTTCTTGCCTCACTTTGACTTGTCTTTTAAGAATCAAAAGGACTCACTTCCAGGAAGCTTTTTCTGACCTGCTACTGGGAATTAGGTATTTTACCACTGAGCTCTGCTAGCATGCTGTATCTGCCTCCTTATGACTCCTAATACACTGAACTGTATGTAATTGCTTATTCACTTGAGATTTCTTGAGGAGCAGAGAGCTCTGGAGGCCAGGGAGTTCTTTTATCTCTGCATCTCCAGCAACTAAGAGTCAGCACAGGGTAGACAATAAATGAGATGAGCTATGCATATCCTTACATTCTTTTGGTTAATTCTGATATTGGCTTTAATTAATGAACATATAAGCAATTTTATTTATTTCATATCTTTCTCAACATTTTGAGAACTTTCAAATCTATAGGAAAGTTGAAAAAATAGGATAATTAATACTGTACACCCCTCATGGCAGCAGTTGTGAACATCCTGCTACATTTGTGTTCTTTCTCTCTCTCCACATATGCTCGCACACACACTTTTTTTTCCTCTGAAACATTTGAAAATAAGTGTTAGCACCATCTCGTGAGAATAAGGATATTCTCTCATGTGACCACAGAACTGTATCCCACCTGAGAAAAAACTCAGAATTTATACACTTTTTCTGTAGAGGGCCTGAGAGTGAATGTTTTCAGCTTGGCAGATGATATTATTTCTGTGGTGACTACAGTTGGCTGTTGCACAACGAGAGTTTGAACCACATAGGTCCGCTTACATGGGATTTTTTTCAGTTAAAACATGGTACTTATATTTTCATTTTACAGATCTTTAATTAAGTGTTAACTAAAAGTTTATGTTTGATTAGAGATCATAATATGTGGAATCAAAAGAACTAGTTGGAGTCCTGATTCTATCCAAGCTGTTTCAGCTTCCTACCCTTGCTCATTTATCAGTTCCTTTGTTTTGGAGGCGGAGATAGTAGTTTTCGGATTTTCAACTACACAGAGATCAGCGCCTCGTTGTTCAAGGGTCAGCTGTACTCGGTCCTGCCAATGTATTGTGAAAGCAGATATAAACAGTATCTAAACAAGTGGGTGTATCTGTATTCCAGTAAAGCTTTATATTCAAAAACGGGCTTTGGGCTCTGTTTGGTCTGCTGGGCCATAGTTTGTCTATATATTTTTTTCGTATTCAGATTTCTGAATTCTTGAAAACATATTTGTATCTTTTTTTAAACTCAAGAGCAAGTTTCACATATTGCATTTTGCTGTGTGTCTTTAATCTAGAAAAATATCTTCCACACAGTCTCTTTTTATTTTTCATGTAATTGATTTGAAGAGTGCATGCCTGTTGTAGATAAGCTGCATTCTAGACATTCTGGACATTCTGGATTTATCAGAAAGTTTCCTCATTATTAGATTCATGTTAAACATTTTTAATAAAAATCCTTCATAGTGATAAGACACAAGGCCAGCTGTCTTACTGTTGGTGTTGCTATGTTTCATTTGATTAAGCCTGTGACTGCCCAATATCTCCATTTTCCCCTTGGTAATTCATAAGCAATAAGTGTGGTGATTCTTGGAAACTATGAGATTATCCTCTTTCCCCTACTCCTTTCCCCAATGGTTTCACCCATTTGTGGTCTTTGATTGAATCAGTGATTTCATCAAAGGCTACAAAATGGTGATTTTTTTCAAATCTGTTATTTCTGCTATGTTAACTGGCCATCTTCTGTAAAACAGTCTTCTCATTTTCTACAGTTGCTTTGGAGTGAAAAAAATGGATAGTAATTATTGGAAATGTATAAACTCAACAGAGGACTGTTGCTATTGTTTTTATTCTTGTTACTATTATTATTACGGTTGCTGTAATTCTTGTTACTACCTTTTCAGGGGTATCCCTGAGGGGGCAGTCAAAAGAAAGTTCTCCAGGATAGAGAGAGCAGCCTGAAGCTGGGATGGCAACAGCACTGATGAGCGCTCATTCCCCAGCTCCTCTAAACCTGAAGAAGGAGGGGCTTCAGGTGGTGAAGGAGGATCACGGCTCTACTCAGGAACAGGGAGTCAAGCCGCAAGGAGACGGCACAGGCCTCAGACCAGAGCCGTTGTGCACACAGTTCAGGCAGCTGCGCTATGAAGAGACCGCAGGACCTCGAGAAGCGCTGAGCCGGCTCCGGGAACTTTGCCGACAGTGGCTGCAGCCCGAGACCCACACCAAGGAGCAGATCCTGGAGCTGCTGGTGCTGGAGCAGTTCCTGACCATCCTGCCTGAGGAGCTCCAGGTCCGGGTGCGGGAGCGTCACCCGGAGAGCGGGGAAGACGTGGTGGTTGTCCTGGAGGATTTGCAGCCGGAGCTGGGAGGAACAGGACAACGGATGGTAAGGGTCAGATGTGCTCTTTTGCAGGAAAGCAGGAATTGAGACCTCTGGCCAGAGGGGTGGCCAGCAGTTCTCCCACTGCTGAGCTCTGGTTCAGTTTCTTTTCAGTCTGGCTGTTTCCTGCTGCAGGTCTCCCCGCAGTCTTACCTACTGGGAGGGAGGGAACACAGTGTGCCCCGGGTGCTCCAGCCTCTTTTCTCTCCTCCTGTGTGGTTTCTCTTCACTCTCTTTTCTAACATTGTTTTTCTGAACAGCAGTTTCCTTCTAAACCCACATGTACCTAATTGTCCCTAGGACTCAAACCAGACAAAGAAACAGAAACTACTTGTGGAGGAGACAGCCCCTCTGAGAGCAGCGCGGGAGCAGCAGGTCCAACCCGAGGGTGAAGGTCCAAAGCCTGACAGAGAGGAGGGTAAGAAGTAGACTGCATCTTCGTGCCTGTGAGATGTGCCGGGCTTCATAGTGCCCTCCTGAGGCCCTGCTCAGCGCCTCTGGCATTTTGCTTTTTGTTTTTGTTTTGAGCCAGGTTTGTTGAGGTATAATTTTCACGCAGTAAAATCACTCTTTGTAAGTGAGTTTTCACAAACATGGAGTAATTATGGTTGTCTAATCATCACCACAATCAAGATTACAAAAGTTTCCATCACCGAAGACATTTCCTTTATACCCTTATCTTTGGTGTGGTTTTGGTTTTTGTTGTTGTTGTTGTTGTTGTTCAGTTAAAACCAAATCCTCCTCCTGTGTGGATGTTCACCTTCCTCTTCTCCCCCTTACTGTGGGGGGGGGGAGTTAAAAAAGGAGTGCTAGTTTCTCACCTAAGACAAAGAATTCAGCCACATGATTCATTACTCATTTTTTCTTACCATCTTCAAATTATTATAAATGACTACTGTCTTTTATTTCTAAATGTTGCCTGGATTATTTTTTGCTCAAATATATATTTTATTTTTTTTTTCAATTTTTTAAAAATTTTGGGGGTGAAGGTAATTAGGTTTACTTATTTATTTTTAGAGGAGGTACTGGGGATTGAACCCAGGACCTTGTGTATGCTCCCCCCCCAACTATATTTTCTCTGACACTGAGATCTAATTTCTGTCCCTTGCATTTTTCTTCTCTTTCTGATGTAAGCCCTGCTTCTCGTTTTTGTTTTACTGTCAGTCATCCTGCTGCTTCCATTGAAGTTAAATTACCTCCTGTTCATTCTCATCATTTAAACACAAATTTATTAATGTTACTCCCCTTCTTAAAGCCCTTCAGTGAGCTGAGTAATGTTATTCTTTCAACTTTTTTTCGACATTTGAAAAAGTCCATAATAAAAAGTAAAAAATAAAAATAAGAAATAACCCACCACCTTCAGTGACTCCTAGTGGCCGTTAACAAAGGCCTCATATGGCGTGTTCTGGCATTTGTGGACTTTGCAGCCTCATATGCCCTGACATCACCAGCTTGCTTCAGTGTGCTTGAGACTTTTAGCTCCGACTGTTCCATGTACTCGGGAACCCCTCATTCCCAGACAATTTGGGACAGTTCATTGCCCTTTGTCCCACCTGCTTACACTGTGTGTTCCCCTCATGCTGAGCTGCATTCCATTTCCCATCTGTTCCTCTTCTGGCTGGAATACTTTCTCCTCACTCTCCCTGACCAATTCCTACTCTTCCATCAGGACTGAGCTTGGATACCATTTTCTCTGTCCTTCCCTAAGTCCCCCAGGTCTGGATCCGTGTCCCCACCTCTGCTGCTGGAGCTCCAGGTTTCCTCTCACCACAGAACTGATCATATGACATTAGAGTGGCTGGTTTACTTCTCTTTTTCTCCTGCTAGCCCAAGAGGGTAGGGGCTTTGTTTTGTTTCCTGAGTCTGCTCCCGTCCCTGGCCTAGAGTAGACCCTCGGTATCTATTTGATGAATGGCTGATCTTCATTTTAAAGCCTTCTTTTATGTACTACCTACTTCCCCTTCTCGGTTTCTGAGTCTGCTTCAAATCTCCCCTTCTTCTGGAAGCTTTCTGTATAGAGTAGCTGAAAGAGAGAGGCCAACCATTTCTAAACAGCCATGCAGAAATGAATTTATGCCCTGTAATCCATGATGGATGTATATTTTAAATATTAAAAGTAAATTTAGCAGTAGTAGATTCTTGAAACTG